GGGGGCATGCACCACCATTTGAAGATTTTTTTAAATGTGAAGTTTAAAGCATCCATCTGTCAACTCTTGTGTGAGCATCATTGAGAAGAGATCTTACAGGAGTCAATCACACATACACACATATGAAAACAGAACTGTAAGCAGCTATTGTTGTTTTCTTATGGATATTTTACACAATCAATTCCCTTTTAAATCTGTTTTTCTTGTTTTAAATAACAACTTTCTTTAACTGTCATATTAAGTAATGTATAACTGTTTACTTATTGCTATATTGTCTATAACTATAATGTGACATATAAAAGAGTGCCTTTACCTCACGGTTGGAGAAAAAGCTTCTTATAATTCGTTAGCATAGCAGCTACCGAGATGCAATAACAGCATACGTTAATTGGACTGTAGACAGTCATGGACAGATGAACAGATCGCCACTTGGGCTTCACTAAAGACACAGGCCACGCAAAAAACGCGACATGTGTACAGCTCTTATGGGTATTGCAATTTGTGACGAAGTCCCGGGCCCGGAGCCCGCGTGTCTGGTGGTGCTCTCCTCTGCCATGCTCCCCTGTCAGACTCGTAACGAGTATACCACGTGATGACACGTTAGGCTCGTGTTGTGTTCAAGGATCCTGACCTTGGCCAGGAAAAACAGGCACTCGCTTTGTTTAATTTATTTGCGGTCTAGATTTCTTAAAATTTTTTCTTTTTTGCGTGTTTATAAATTACCTCGAGGGCCGTACCAAATGGTCTCGGGGGCCGTATACGGCCCGGAGGCCGGAGGTTCCCCACCTCTGGTCTACATGGTCATGGTGCATACATAAATACAGTTAAAGAAGATAAAAAGTACATTCAGCTGTAATGTAATTACGATTCTAATTCAAAGCCACTAACGTACACTTCTAAACCATAGACATGCCTACGGGTGCAATTTGGGGTTACACGGTCCCATTTATGGTCATTTTCAGGTCTCATAATTGTAATGTGTGGTGTGCCTCTAATGTGACATGTTTATATTATTTAATGTTCAAAAAGTATTTTTTTCTTAAATACTGCCTGTGCTGCAGCACCTCTTTTCACCCTCTGTCTGAAACCAGAGCCCAGTCTGCTCTGATTGGTTAGCTGGCCGGCGCTTTTGGGGGCGGTGGGAGATCAACTTTGGGATTTCAGCCTTTGCAGACCATTTACATGCACAAAAACCTATAATAGATTACAGGAAAAGGAAAACCTAAAAAAAGCATAATACTGTATGGCCCCTTACGTTTCTCCAGGACACTTTGACTGCAGGTTCTGGGGATCAAATCACTGACCTTCTGATTGGTAGAAACCCCAAAGCTAAAGTCGCCCCTTTCATAAAACCATTCACATAAGAGTACAAATGAATGCACCTTAAAGCAATATGGAAAAAGTACATTTAAGATATATCTCTAAATTCTGGAAGATATTGCGACGATAAAATATTGATTTACTATCCATCTCTACTTTTGTCAAGCCATCATTACAGCAGAGATGCACATCACCAACGTCAAGCGGGACAAAGGAGATCGCAGACAGACAATAGGGGCTGTGGAGCGGTACAGCGCCATTCGTCGGCTGTCTCTGTTATCATAACACATCAAAGTTTGTGTCAGCAAGGGGCCGAGGCACAGAGAAAGCAGGAATGGGGGAAAGAATGTGTACATATGAGAGAAATTGTTTTACTCCCAGTCCTGTCATGTACTGAGTGACGTTGGGCGTGCTGCGACTGTTAGCTTCCCATCTGTCTGTGGAGTCCAGCACCTACATGTGACCAACTCAACAATCCATCTTCCTCTCTCGCTACCTTTCCATCTCAGACTGCTGTGAAGTTTTGAATGAGCAGAGGTAGTTAATTAAAAAAAAGGGTTATGGAGAGGATGTGGTTGCATGCCTGCCATAAAACGATAGCAGAGAAAGAGGCAGAGGGATGGAAAATGGCAGATTCATAGAGAATATCCATCCTGCAGAACACACACTCTGTCTGCACGTGTGTGTCTCTCTTTTGCCGCTGGCCAAGCACTCCATCTTCACCTGTCAGGCTGATAACTGCAGGTATAGACAGGTGGCCGGCTCGCAGCACAGTTTATGTCTTTCATGCTGCATTTTAGATGCTTCTCTGTTCTTCCACTGAGGGAAGAGATATGTTGTAGATTAAAGCAACCATGCAGAAAACTGGGCTCCAGCTGCCACATGGGCAGAGCTAGACTCAGGCACACAGGCTGAATTTTCTGGCTGTGATACAAGGGAAAGCGCTCAACATCCAGTTTTGTTTAAACAGACACTTGATCCCGCATTCTAGCTCCCGCTGAAAAGTTCATTTCAGCATTCAATCTCAGAGGAGAGACTCTGTTGGATCAAACATTCAATTCATGGGATTGTATTTCATTTTAATCCATCCATAGTCACATTAAACACAACTCTGCTTGAGGCCTTTGCCCGTGTTTACCTTGAGGCCAAAGAAATATTATCTAACCGGTCAGGACTTAATGCTGATGAAAAGATTATGTTAATCTTTAAGAACTGATCTACTGGCACAAGATCAAAATGACAAGAGGAAGTGAGCAGTCGAGCCAGGAATAATCGAGGATGGAGGCTGGGGGACAGAAAGAGAATGAGGAAGGTACAATTTTCTGAGGCTTTTTAATCGGCGGATTCACAGATTGTTGTAGGTGGATTGTTCTGGATTATGACAGCTCAGGTGCCAATTTCGGAGTAATTTTGACAATAATACTGGTTTTGTCCCAGTCGAGTCTGTCAAACGCAGATGTGGAAGAAGAAGAGAGTGGAAGGAAAATGCGAGGGTGGGGTAGAGGGGGGAAACGGAGGGCGCAACGAGAGAGACGGTCTGTGAATGGAACTTTTTACAGGCGAGAGTCTGCTGGCACAACAACCCCTCCGAGATCCTCTGCCTGGGTTAAGTCACTACTATACACCAGCCTGTATTCATGCTGCACGTTCACTAATTTCACCGCCAATTAATTGTGTATACTGTAAGTGTGGAGCTAAAGCGCTTTTGCTTTTCCACACTTATTGATAATAACACAGCGTCCTCACCTGGTCAAAAGTTTCCCTCTAATATATGTCTCCTTCGTGGGCTTGACGTGTAGGCCTATCTGGTGCTCCGTTAATGAGACCACACTGTGTTGAAACACACTTTATTGACACTTTTTCAAATACTTTATATACGTTTTCCATAATATAGTCACATATTGTGTCAATGAGACTTATTTGTCAGTGTTTACAGCGATGACACTCACCACAGCGCAATGCGGTCCTTCGGGTAGTTGAGGCGCTCCAGAGCTCCGAGGAACAGCGGCAGTGAGTGCGCCGAGTTGCGGCAGGCCAGCGCGACGACGACCCGGGGGGCAAGGAGCGGAGACTCGGGGCTCCAGCGCTCCTCGGGGAAATACCCCCGGCTCGGGCCAGGTAGGAGAACGCACAGCAGGGCGGGCAGCAGTGAGGTGGCCCGGGGCATGGCAGGTGACATAAACTCGCGAGAGGCGCATCGGACAGAGAAGGGCACCGATGATGTGGAAGCTGAGGCTGCCGCTGTTGTGTTGCGCCGACACTGGATACATGGCGGAGGAGCTGGCTGAATTAAAGGTCAGGTCTGGACTCGTTCAAGGGGAACTCGGTGTTCTCAAAATAAACTCGTAGGCCCACTTTTCTGAGACTTGTGTAGCAAATCAGTGAGATTCTGGCAGGTTTTTGAGTTATACTTTACACAAATATCCCCCTGTGGGCCAAAAAAAGGCTTCCCTCTGTGATAGGACGTCCTCCCCTTTAAGAATAAATCCAGCTGTAGGAAATAGATAGGAAGCAGCATGGGCGTGTCCATGTGTATACTGTACATACAGTCTATGATACTGTACTGCAGGCCTGACAAGCATCAAACTACAAACTAATTTTCAATAAAATAAACTCAACCGGGACTTCGTGTAGGACATCTTACATTGTTCTCTGTTTGCAGCCGTAGGAGAGACGAGTGCCGAGGGACTTTCTACAAAGTACAAATCCGAAATCAAAGTCAAAGTCAACTTAACCTACTACAAACATTTGAAATAACTTCCCTGATATACAGTCAAGTGCTAACAAAATCAATTCACAGATTAAAAGTCTCATGTCAGTTATTCTTTGGATATTTTAGGTGATCTTTTTCTTACTTAAATTCAATTAGGCCTCATTATTATAAATTGTAGTGCTACCAAAATCCCTTCACAGATGAATGATCTCCTGTTTGTAATAATACACAACCAAGTTAGGAAATGTTTCCCATTGCATAATTGTGATGAATATTGATTGTGGACAATATTAAGTATTGAGAAGACACTTTTTTTTTAATGTCACATTCTGAAACTTGGCTCGAGGGACATTGGCCTTAAGTCCTTGTTTTTTGTGGACCCAACAATTCTTCAACAAGTTTCATGAAGAGTACTGTTGTCTTGAACAATCTCTTTGCTTTGCAATTGTATTTTCTTTCACTTCCTCTGACAATTTTCACTTCTTCTTTGGAAGCTTGCTGTCAAGTGTGCCAAACGCAGTAAGGCAGAGATTCAGTGACTCTCTTGAGACATTTAACTACAAATTGAAGGGAAAGCGCATGCTAAATGAATAAAGCAGATAGGATTGTAGATTGTACTCTAGATTTAATGTGGGTTTAAATCTCACTACAAAGCTGTTGATTTGTTTCCTTTCCATTAAAGTTGTATATTTGTCATGGTTCAGTCAGTCAGTGAGACAGATATATTCTCCGGCATCCAGCAGTGAAGATGTGTGATTAACAGCATTTCTGAGTTAATGCTTGGTGTGAGTGTTTCAGATCCGGAGGTGGACCCTTCAGAGGTGTGGCAGAAGTTCTGCATACAGTCAGTAGGAGGCAGCAGCTTGTTGTGTGCTGTTTCAGATAAACTAGAGCTGGAGCTGACAGGGAGAGGCATGAGCTGCTGTGGCAGGGAGCACCTCATCACTGTAGGGGGGACAAAGTGTTGCAATCAAAGATGGCAATAGTTACAGTTTCAAAGGGGGGTGGATATTCAGTTTTAATCCTGTCATCGACATCTCAACTGTTTTTATCCAGTATATAAAAAGCTCCTCATCACTGATTGGATGTAGGCTACTGTAAGCGGTCAGGTTTTCTCTCAGGGTGGAGTGGAAGACAGTGTCAGGGTGGATGTAAAAGGCATGCTCTGAGTTCACCATGGCATAGTCACGAGAAAGGTCCTAAAGTCAACAAAAAAAAGGAGACCAAAAGATTATCATACACATCTGAAGATATAAAAACATGCTCACCTGCTCACCTACACCATGTGTAAACACATGCAGTGTAATCTGCAGGATCGCCTCTAGAATCAACTGAGATCGAAGAGCCAACAGTTCTGTTTCCAGGTGCTGAGACAGGGACAGACAGAGACGTGAATTTGGTTTTAATGACGTAAAAAAGCAGTGTGTGTTTCTCTGCTGCTACACACCTTTATTACTCTCTCTGATCTTACACAACACTGCCGTGATCTGGGAAGATTCTAGAGAGAAGCATTGATATTGAGCGCAACCGATGACCATCACAGCACACATGTCAACCACCTGCAAGAGAAAAAAGAGAGGAGGGATGTGAAAGACAGAAGGGTACATTTTTTTTTTATAAATGCCACTCCTTTTTAATTGGATACACAAAAATGTTTGATTTACTTTGTAGAGAGCCCTCTGAGCTTTAAGTAGAAAAGCCCTCCAGACCCCACTGTGGACACCCCATGTCTCCTGGAGCCACACAAGCCCCTCTGAGCTCAACTCCAGCCCGTTAAGGCATTTCCACATCCGGGCATCGTCTGGGCCATGGCCACACAGAGGCATCAGGATCTGTGATACAGAAAAAACCTTATTAGCAATGCCATCAGAAATAATTAAACCCTCCATGAACTTTAAAGGGCAATGTATTTCTAAAGAGCTGCCAGTTTAGTTGTAACAGTTCACATTAAAGTGTAGCTCTGCGTACAAGCCTTGGAGTTGTGCGCAATTTTTTTTAATTTCAAACTAGGATTATGTAGGTTGTTTGATAATGTTTCCACATGTATTTTCACACATCACTCTTGATTATAATTATTAATGTTTAAAAAGCAACATGACGGAATCGCCCATTAAAATTCTTTACACCCTGGGCCTCATAAAACGCTTCACATTCCAGCACATAATTACTCAATTGCATAGCTGCCAGTCAAATAAAGACATGAAACTATGAAAACACTCCTCCTGTCCCTTGAGGGAGATTTTGATCAACGATCCTTCTTCTGCTGTTACTTTATTCGAAAAATACTTAATCTTCAGCTACCAACTTTATGTCCAGAACTATGAAGCCCAGGAAGGGACATGGAGGGGTAGAAAAAAATCAAAGGTTAAAAGTTACTTGTCTGTGATCTTACCTTTCAAATGTGGGTCCCTATGACTACAATAGCTTGGAAGATAGCACTGAACTTGATTAATGTTATCCTCAGTACACAAAAAAAAAATCTTCTTTCATTTCTTTTGACAATAATTGTTTTGCCTGATGCACCTTTTTCACTGATGTGCCTTTTGATCCCAGGTCTATGATGCCCTGTTACGTGCCGTGTTGTGTTTGTCTCTCTCCCCCTCTCCCCCTGATTGTCTCCCTCCAGGTGCAGCTTCTCCCTCAGGTGCTCCCACTCCCCAATACCCGATAAAGGACCTGAGAAAGGCTGCAGTCTCATTCTCCTTCTCCTCTGGGCTGTATGTGTGCAGCATGTGTAGTGTGGTGTCTCTATCTCTATCTCTGTGTGAGGCCTGCTAGTAAACTGTGTTTTGTTCATTAATAGGAGATGTGCTCCAGTGTATCTGTGTGTATTGTTTTACTTTAGTCACTTTTGGCTGGTGAGCCCTCTTTACTTTTTGCTTATTAAACATCACCTTGTGGCTTCACCAATCAGTTTTCTCCTTTTTTCTCTAGCCCGGTTATTTTATATGTTGTTACTTCCCTTCGGTTCCCCTAGTCCAGGAGGGAACGTAACATGTCCTCACATGTCTCCAGGAAGTATTGCCAGGTTGAAGCAAATCCATCCCAGGTGGGTGCGGCCACTTCCTGCAGAGTACGGTCAAGCTTTGGGATGACCATGTGTTGGAGAGACTTTAACATCGGCTCACACATGTCCTCTAAGAGAAGCAGTAAATGGTTTAAGATGCTTAAGTCTCCTTTTCCATCCTCTGACTTAGCCAAAAACACTGACCTGTGATCATGTGAGCGATGTAGTCCTGCTGCAGCTTTTACCTGTTGCTTTTGTCATCCTGTAGACCTCCGACAGCAACTACAAGGCATGTATAAATACATAAACATATACTGGAGCTTCAAAGAAAATCATGCAGGGTATTATTTGTCCTTTTCACTCACAGTAATCCAGGCTTTCCTCCTCCTGCTGTGATGCATAATAATATGGGGAAATACTTGCTGCTTGAAGTGGGGGATCACTTCTTCCATTACAATGCTTACCAACAATCTGAAGGGCAAAGAGAGGCGGAAAGATGGCATATAAAACAGGCTCAGATAATAGTCAAATATAGCAGAAAACAACAAAAGACTAATACAGGACATCATACAACATAAACAGGAGAAAATACCAAACCTTTTGTGAAACAACATGGATGGCTTAAAATGTACAACAAATGAGAGAAGGAGTATTTATGGGTGGCAACAAGGTTTAGAATATTACTTTTTCTCGATGGATGGTTGCTCACCTCTTCCCCATCACCCACTGGATGTACCTCGGTCTGACAGTTTCCTCTAAGCCTCTTCAAAGATGACACAGCATCTAAGAAGGCCCGGGTGTCAGGTGAAGCTTCACACCAAAGTGCTGACAAGACAATACATTATTAAAAGAAAAGATTGACTTCAAAAACGGCATTGAAGGCATTTTGTCTTGTGATTGGGAACGGCAATTAGAGAAGTGTACCGGGACTCTAATGTTGTGCTGCAGCTCGTAGCATGTTGGCCCAGCGTGTCTGTTCCTGGTGGGATGCAGTGGCCAGGCACACTGGGGCTCTGTAAAGGTGCTGCATGAAGACAGGAAATGCTGTGGGACAATCCCAACATGCCAGCTCTTTGCCTGAAGCTTTCAAAAGTGCAGACAGGGAGACACATTAACATTTTTGTTTGAGTCAAGTAGAAGAAATACAACAATTATACGGATTGCCTATAGGCAGTTTAACACAAAATATGAGATTTTCTGCCCCTATCAAATTAAAACAACAACAAAAGATGGAGTATAGTGGCGTTGTGAGGGAGCGTTGGATCAGGAGGATTGTTGTCTTCATCACATTGCAATCTATGGGGACAGTTTTGGAAAACGTCAGTGTTTATTGTTCTGGAGGATTTTACAGGGAGTTGTATTAACCACTGAGTCTCCTCTTTTCCAAAACAAACTGACCCACTGCTTATAAACGGTAGAAACACTGAATAAAGCAGTTTTAGTATCAGTGTTGTCGTACTCCAGCCAATTGCTGCATGTTAATCCCTCTTTCTACCCTTTTCTCGGTACAGCTGCTTTATCAATTAAAGGCAAAATACCCGAAAAATAATGCTGTTCTGCAGATAGGATGT